TTCGCCCGCTTGAACACTGGGATCGCGAGTTCGAATCCCACTCAAGGCATGAATGCCTGTGTGTGTTGTTCTGTGTATAGGTAGAGGCCTTGCGACAGGCTGATCCTCCGTCCAAGGAGTCCTACCGACTGTGTATATATTAAAAATTTAAAAAAGAAGCGGTCAAAGTGTATTGGGCTGTAGAGCCATAAGGGGACACCGCTACTGACACTACCAATACTACTAACGAACCCTACAATTAATAAACTTCACTACTCCTACTGTTATTACTATTCCTACTAATTCTTCTTTTCCCCAAGTGTTAAATGAGAAATTTAAGCAATGCAATAATGCAACGCGCGGGATTTAGCCAGCCGTTTTGTTGTTGATACTGCATTCTCCGTAAGAGGACTCACGAAGTCGGTAACCTTTCACTATTACGGCATGCCACTTACATCCTTACTGCACGCATCACAAAAGTCATTGTACAACGTAACATGACATCATTAGATACGTTTGAGAAGTCCAAGCAGGTATTCAGCAACGTAACGTTCTGAAGGTTATGGAACGTCGGTGAACTGCTAGTAGCTATCGTGACTGTCCGCAACATATATTCCAGCAGACTGGCTGATTGGTTTATGTGTCTGAGTTCTGGAGCCTATTGTACCAGCCCCAGATGATAGGTGAGGGTGACTGTGGAGCAATTGGTGGAATGAAGATTGGCAGGGGAAAGGGAAGGAGAAAACCTGCCCCAGCGCCACTTTGTCCACCACAAATCCCACTTGACCAGACCCGGGATCGAACCCGGGCCGCCGCGGTGGGAAGCCAGCGACTAACCGCTTGGGCCATGGCGCGGATACTGGCTTCAGTTGAAAGAAAGAAACGTAGTTACCGAACTACTCTTGTTGATGTGTTGCATAGTCTAATTGCCTTACTGTCCTCTGCTTACAGAGTCCCATATGCATTTTGCTCCATAGGTATGAGAGATATCTGAGGCCCAATATTGTTTCCAGATGTACACAATTCCTAAGTTTAAACGAATTGTAAAGATATCGAAGTTATAAATGTTGTAATAACACTGTCATTTTATTTAAATGTACCAAAGAACGCCTGTCATTTTTCCTGATAATTTAATAATCAAATCGAAAGTTTTTCCAAACAGAGAGCTATAGACGAGAACGTAGAAAACATCACGTGTTGCGCGTTACGTTCACTCTTTTCCTTTCGATAAATATAACATCTTGTGCTTGAGTAAACCGGTCTTCACATAGCTGCCATAACATTAGGCATTTAAAGTCTTACTCCTGCAAGGTCTGCATTCTAATATATTTATAAGCCTACATTTCATATCAGCGAGAGCAACTTTCATTGGAACGTCATAATCGCACATGCGAACATAACTAACTGACAATACAGAAGAGTCATTCCTGAGGAAGAGGCAGTCGGTCCTCAAGCCAAGAAGTTCCTCGCCTTCTCGTATCATGTTCATACCACTGATCCCTATCCTGAGGAACGTAACTACAATCCAGAGATTCATATTCTATTCCTTTAAGATTCATTCTAATATTATTACCCGTTCTATCAAGCAGCCTCTTTCCTTCAGGTTTAGCGACACCTCTCTGATGCGTGCTGCATTCCCGGCCGTCACCTTCACCTCCGTTTACTTATCCCAACACACAGATTATGAAGCCCCTCACTATGCAACTCCATTCAGTCTCCTCTTGCTTCAATTGAAGAGATCTCTCACAGTACCGTCAAAACCAAGTTCACGCACTTTCCCTCGCTCCTTCCGTGCGTATGTTGTATATTGGCGGTTATTTCATGGCGTCGAGTGGGCAGTGACAGGACGGGTGTGGCTGGAATTGCTTCTCGATTTGTACTGCTTCAAAAGTGAATTATTTATCGTCATCACATCCAATATTGAATATGTAATTAATACAACTGCCATGTTCTCGTTTCAAATTCTACAGAATAATTACATTAGAAACTGATGCATATTTGAAGAAAGCAGTCTTCTGTGATTTGTCACCATGTATATGTGGTGTTAACCAACGTTTCGGAGAAACGTATCGCCTCCATCTTCAGGGTAGGAGGAAAAATATAAGAAATCCACAGGCGAAGAGACCGTGAGAACCGACCGGTTCATGGTCACCGCCGTGAAAACCTCAAATCTTACGTGATGCATATTTCTTTGTAATTCCATTTTCATGCATTATTGCAGAATCCTATATCAAAAGGTGCTAACGGTAAAGTTCCCAAGATCGTACACGCGACATGTTGGTATAACTGATTCGTGGAAGTTAAAAATTTGTCGTTGGAGTGACCTCCAAAATTCATACCAAGTTTCGTGAAATTCTCTCTATTAGTCCTACATTTGACAGTGATGATCTCATGAGACCGCTTTTTTTTCCCCCCTCAGCAAAGGAAAACCTGAGGACAGAAGAGGCGGTTAACTTTCAAGTTATTGTTTAAGGACTTGCCTGGGGGAGTTAAATAAATCCATAGGCTTTCTATCCAGGTACAGCACTAAAGGCTAACCCTACTTGGTTCTGCCACTAAGGTTCAGAAGTTGGACATTACTAGAACCGAAGGATGTCGCAAGCAAATCACGTTTCATCCACGGCCAAGGTACAAGTGTCAGTGCGGTATATAACGGAACTCGGCCCTGTTGTCCAGCGCATAGACCTGAAGACATGGCAGGCCAGCGGTTACCCATAGCGGTGCTAGTGTTTGTAGGCACGTGCAGTCTCCTCGTGTCAGTGACGCAATCTTCGGTGAAACCTGTAGTAAAAGTGCAGCAAGGTTTGATCCAGGGTAAAATATTAACGTCTGCTAGAAGTAAAAACAGATTTGCAGGCTTTCTGGGAATTCCGTATGCCAAGCCACCTGTTGGTGACCTGAAGTTCAAGGTAATGAATGAAATTCTGGCGAGAGAAATTTATCTTTGATAAGACAATGCACATTTGATGAACACACGAATCAGATCACACATCTAGTGCAGAGTTTAACACTCCGTGGAGTTAGGACTCCATCTGCACTCCCCCATACATAGTCATTGTGTAGTGCTTATCTAGGCAGAGGGTTGCGTCTTCACTGGGTGGTGCCTGATTAGGCACAGGAATAATTGTCTTTTACCCTATGTCATCTTCAGAGCAGAACTGTACCACAGTGCCAAGGTATAAGCACGGTGTTTCGGGCCTTCACCGGCCTCATTAATATCGTGTAGTCAATGTTACATGTGCAACTGAGGTGTAGCTCAGGCTAACGCGTAATGCTCAGGTGTTAGCGTGTTGGGCTAACGCCTAATGCTCAGGTGTTAACGTGTTGGGCTAACGCGTAATGCTCAGGCGTTAGCGTGTTGAGCTAACGCGTAATGCTCAGGTGTTAACGTGTTAGGCTAACGCCTAATGCTCAGGTGTTAACGTGTTGAGCTAACGCGTAATGCTCAGGTGATCGGAAATTGCAGCAGTATAAAACTGTTACCCATACATTTGTAAGAACGTTGTTACCACCACAAACATGCAGCCGCATGCTCACACTGGTTTTTCTACCCTGAAGATGGAGGCGATACGTTCCTCCGAAACGTCGGCTCACACACACTCTACACGGTGCCACATTACAGAGGGCGGCATTCTTCATAGTCAACCCCGTGAAAACCTCAAACCCTACACACTATAGAATTTCATAAAAATCAGTTTAGCGTTCTGGATTCTTTTCTTGCGGACAATCGCATGACGTTCTGAAAAATTAGGAAGTAGAATAAAAATAGTGGTATTATTATTATTATTATTATTATTATTATTTTAACACAATATTACAGAGCGCCGTATCCAGTCATGATCAGACTCCGCGCCTAAGATTCAACATGTCATAGCATCACATGAAATTCATTTCAATTATTCATATAAATTTACAGTTTTAGTTCAAATTACTAAACAGTTGTCACAGCCATCTTACAGAAGAAAAGTAATTTGACCTCTATCAAAATTTAAACTCCACGTGGGCTGTGCCGCTGAGAACATAAGTGTAACACGTGTAGGCCTATGTGGCATCAGATTAGTCACAAGAATTTGATATTTAGTCTTGACATAGACTATAAATGTGTATGCAAATTCCGAACAAAATATATCCTTGGGTATTAGGGATAAAAATTCTCAAGTATTAAAGAACCTGCGATAATTAGTCGGAATCATATCGCTAAGTTGTAAGTCATATTAACTTCGTACTCTTGAAAATTTTCTACACTGGCCTAGAAATATTCGAAACAAAAACTAGATCCGATAATTTTCAGGAAATAGAATAGATCACACTGCCGTTTCGTCCAAAATTGTAGAGCCTTTACTAGAAATAATAATCATATTAATTTTCAATATGATTCCCAATAATGTTTTATGTATACAAATTGTATACATGTTTCGACTATAAATACGTCATCTTCCGATTCATATTTCGTAGATAAGAATGTTAGAAATTGATATATTTCTGCTTATGTTATTATACTCGTTACACTTCTTTTAAATTGAGCTAGACAAAGGAAGAGCTAAGATTGTTAAAAAAGATTAATATAGCTTATAAAATTGTAGTCACTAATGGCCACTGGTTGAGACCCTTTAAACTGCGTTTTCGTAGAGAAATATTTATCTCTTGCCTCAGAATTGTCTGATAGTGTAGTCATTTTTATTACTGTTATAATTTACGGCAGAGAACATCAGTAGTTTCGAAGTGGATGTTGAGAAAGAACCGGCGAGCATTTACTTCATTCACTTACAACTCCCCCTTCGTGAGTAACAGCGGAATTCATTGTTATGAATATTTTTAATGCCGCCAGTTCGTTGTGTGACATGGCGATATAGCATGCTTGCTGATTAATTAGAGGTTCCAATATAGAATTAAGCGTCACAAATTTATACCAGATTTTTGCTTTATTTTAATATTCGCTGAGTGCTCTGCTGCGTTTGGTTCCCACCTGAAGCGCTGTGACGTCGTTAACGAATACCAATCTTAATGTTTGACTTGTGTAGGCACCAGAAGCCCCTGCGTCATGGACAGGAACACGTCACGCAACTACAGAGGGCTCCATTTGTGCTCAGAGAAACGAGCTAACGAGATTGCTGTTGGGAGAAGATGACTGTCTCTTTCTCAACGTCTTCACACCCAAGGTGAGACGCATCAGAAATCTGCATAATCTTCATTATTTTTAAGGATTATAGAAAGCGAATTTAACCAACATAAATAATATTAAGAACTAATATTCTCGCATAAATTGTATTTACAATTTCCTTTGCCACAACTGTGCAGAAAAATCGAACCGAAATTCTAATAGCTGAAATGCACGATGGACGACAATTTATATTCTTCATGCGCGTTTAATGCAATTTGTTTTCCGTGTATTAATAAACACTGCGCTAAACTTGAAGCATCAACCCTTTAACATTTCTGGCATCATTCTAAGGTAGGCCGAACACCGGCATGCGTCAAGACACGATGTCTGCGACATGACGCAAAGAAAGGAGCACAGTCGAAACGAATGAGATTATGAAAACCGCCGGACACCGGTCTGAGTCACGATGCTGACGTCAGCTTCATGCTGACGAATTACGAATGAAGCGAGACTGCGTATTTTGTCTCATGTCTTGATGCCTGTCTTGACGCAGTTGGTGTGCGGCCGCCCTAACGATTCGTCAGAATTTAATATTTAATTTTAATTGAAAATTCAGTCATGTACTAAAATGTTTAACACTTGATTATTTCCATCTCTGATTAAGCGAATGCTGCAAGTTTTTACAAGGTCTCTATTCAAATCAACTACACTGACACAAGTCAGATCAGGATTTGCAATTATTTTCAAACACACCTAACAGATTTCTATGACGCGGCGCTTCTTCTACGAAACATTTTCACAACCTTGGCATACCATGTGAAGGAGAAGTCAACATGAACAAAAGTTTACATATTGTTCCTCATTTGACTGACGTTTACAACAGCAATTCAGCACTCATTCAGATATTAGCAAAAATATAAGCGCCGGAAAAAATATATATTTTCTGGCTGCACATAAACGGTTACTCACAGAACAAGTGACTGTAGAAACTGACCTTGACTAGTTATATTTAATTAACTTCCCATGTTTAACACCTAACACAACTAAACACAACTGAACAAACAGAAACCACATACCTTGTCCAGATCAATAAACCTGCTATTGGAAACGATATTATGATAATGCTGTGAGTTTACTTTCTGAACAGTCGTGTCATCTTGAGAATTCAATGAGTAAACTCTACAAAAACATAAGCCGTGACTAAAGTGGCTAGACAAATTCATGAACTTTCCATTCTGAGTCACATGATGTTATGCGTGAGGTGAACATCTTCGAAGAGGCCATGTTATCCTATGTCGAAGGGCAAGTCTTTTCTTGCTTTCCTTATTTTCGAAAAATAAAAAGTGCGCGTACGAACTCACCTTCTGAGTGCCTGAACCAATCTTTACGGAATTTAATATGTATAATATGGCACCAGAACCCATGTTAACGGCTACTCCATAAATCCCTCCCATCGGTCTGTGTGTCTGCATTTGTATCCCCATATTGTTGCTAGGCAACGGCTCGGTAAACACGTTCCCGCAGCAACGAATATACGCAACGATAGAAGAAATGTTGGACGCTTTGTTTCTTATACGGTCCCTGTCATAGGAAAGAAAAGTAGGCGACTAGTTCTTCCCAGATCATTTGTTCAGAGTTAGGGGTTCATTAAGCTAAAATATGCCATTTGTATCTCCATATATTAAAACATTGCAATGCAATGCAATGCACTGTAAAGAGCTGACTGTTGGAATTCAGAAAAAATATCCAGGAAAAATGGCACGTCTTCGAATCCCGGGTGTAATTTGGGGCACTATTCGACAATCCGTGCCCTTTAAGATACCACATAAAATACAGAGACCTATCAATACATTTTTTTTAATCTGATGGCAAATCCGCCATATTTCCCCTTGAATAACATCTGTATTCTTAAAATTTAATGGGGCAGTAAGGATTCTCTGAGAGGTGTCCTGGATATTGTGAAGAGCGTAACTTCCGGACCGGCTCTGTCCATCCTCCGGGGGTAGTGTTCAGGACAAGACTCAACGGACTTACGGCTCCATTCCCTATAACCTCTTCACGCCCTTTGCGGCCCGACTACGGGACAATTTGCCATGTTGTGGTTTACTGCCATGCTTGCTTATTGTAGTTACCCGATGACAACGAAGACTCTTTAAAGCCCGTGATGGTGTTTATTCATGGAGGTGCCTTTTATTTCGGGTCTTCAAGCAGTAGAACTTATGGTGCCGACTATCTGGTGGAGCAAGGTGTTGTGCTGGTTACCATCAACTACCGCCTGGGAGCACAAGGTTAGCTACCGTGCATTAATTTCGTCACTGCCTTCCTTGCTATTTGCCAGTCTACTTTATATAGAACAACGCCTTGGGCTAAACAGTCTTCAGCTCCTGGTGTTTCGTGGCTCTAGATTTTGAGAGTAGACCATGTCCAATTTTGAGGGTTTTCCAACGTTTCTGCAGTTTTTGCAGTTACCATCTTCAGGATTAATGGCTTTGGGAGGAGCTTTACTACGCTCTTAAGTTCTCACATGAGACGGTGTGTCGGAGGTGAAGCTGTGATTGGATAAACAGAAGAGTGTGCTCGTAAGCAGATGGAGCGCACATGGGGTTAGTGAAAAGCGAAGAGAGCACGCGGTTAATGAAAAGACGTGGCGACAAATGTCCCGGCAAGCAGGTGGCCCTCAGACGAGGTGAGGAGACAGCGACTGCCAGAACATTTGTCGTCGCCTCTTTCCAACAGCCGTGTGTTCCCTGAAATACACGTACGTTCTACGTCTTTTCCACTAATCATACGCACACTGGCTAGCATTTAGTTGCTCTGTTTATCCAATCGCGTATTTGCCTTCAACACGTACAGTCTAATCCAACAGTTAGATAAAAGATTACAAAACCATTTTCAAAGTCATTACACATGAAGATGGCGACTGTAAGATTTGTCGAAACTTTGGAAAATCTTCACCATTCCACGTGTCCTAGTTCCGAAAGCCCTGGCTACACATTCCGCATACTCTTTATGCCCTAAAGTAAAACCATAAATTCTGAAGAATATAACAATTAAATTTTATATTAAAGATTGCTCCTGTGGGCTCTCCTGGGATTCGTATAATCACTTTTGTTTAAAATTAAAAATTTCAGATTGCCTTCCAGATTGCTAAACGTCACGATGCAGCTTCAGGGTTTCTGTCTCATATATGGAAGATCTAACCGTCGAACCTCGGCCCACAGATCATCTTCTTTGAAGAGATTTTTCACTGTTTTAGTCATTGCCTCCAGAGAAGTGCTTAGATGTCACCTCAAATAGAGACCGTCGCCCCCATGTTCCAATTCATCACGCATAATCACTCTTCACCGACGTCACTCAAAACATGCAGTCCATAAAGCGACATTAATTAAATTGGGAATGAATAAATTTTAACGGATTTGATCAACGCGTTGCCAGGCAACAGCTCTGTAAACACGGTCCAACATGCAACAATAGAAGCGGCTGTGTTTTGTATGTCGTGCGCGCCGAGAAACAGTGGAACAACGGCGTTATGCAACGCGTTTCTAAGCAACGGCTAGGCAAACACACTTCCGCGTAAGCGATGACGTCATCAACAATAGAGACGGTGTTTTCCGTAGGGTCTGTGCAGAGTGCTTGTAAGAGAAGTGAAAGCAGTGACAGAGTTAGTTCAAGGTCAGTTACAAGCGAGCCGTAAGCTAGAGGAGTGAGTCCAGAAGAATTTTTAGTTCCGATGTTTCCGAGCGATTGAAGACGAAATAGCAAGAAGACCTCATAGTGATTTGAAGTGATAAGTTTGTATTAAGATCCGTTGCTAGGAGACGACTAGCGGGAACCGAGAATCCTAGTGCGTGTGCACCACGATGGACTCCAAAATGTGTAATCAGCGATAGCGCTGTATTAATGGCAATTAAGGGAGGTTGTGACCAAGCTGCTGAGAAATCCAATCATCCGAACTAGAACCCGCTATTTTCGCCACGCGTAACACCCTATACTTGACAATATTTTAACTTAAAATTCATCACCTATTATTTCAAGCTTCCACAATTCTTTATTCAGTTACACCAAATGCTTATTGCTGCGAATTGCTTTCCAAAAACAGGGTTCTTGAGCTTAGAGAATGAAGAGGTCCCCGGGAACGCGGGCCTGAAGGACCAAGTGATGGCTCTGCGTTGGGTTCAGCAGAACATTGTGCAGTTTGGAGGCGATCCTGGTAACGTCACCTTATTTGGGCAGAGCGCTGGAGGCGTGAGCGTTCAATATCACATGCTTTCTCCTATGTCTAAAGGTATGAATAATTTAATTTATATAATTGTCATGGACGTAGTCTAGCCTATACGGCACAGTGGCATGGTGCAATGCCGTTTGACAGTGACAGAAATATTACTGTTAAGAAGCCCTCGACGTAAAGAAAAATATTTCCGACACCAACATCACTGCAAATGTCGCCAATAACATTAGTGATTAATTTTGTTAAAGCTCACTCAGTTACATCGAAGTCAAACTTGATACAAGACTGAAGCTAAGTCCATCACTACAAACTCAGATGTCACGTACTCAACTGGAGTACAAGCAACTCAAACGTACAGATGGACACGCAACCTACATTAGAAAAATCAACAAAACTCTGAACTGTCAACTGCTGAAAACATTACGAAGGTCGTCACTACGTCCGTCTTCTATCAACACAACATGACCTTTTGCTCGCTTCAGCATGCTAAAATCTGCTCAAATAAGTAACTATCCTATTATGGCTTTACAGCGCTTTGTTCAGCCTTGGCCGTTTCTTCAGTTTCTTGATCTATACACAGTCGGTAGGACTCCTTGGACGGGGGATCAGCCTGTCACAAGGCCGCTACCTATACAGAGAACACACGCACACAGACATCCATGCCTCGAGTGGTATTCGAACCCACGACCACAGCGATTGAGCGGGCGAAGACGGTTCATGCCTTAGACCGCGAGGTCACTCTGATCGGCAAAATAAGTTAGTGTTTATTCTTAATATTCGTACCTATCAAAACTCCATTTAACGATTTTATAGAAGCAAACTATTATTTTTTTATTGTTAGTGGGGTGGGACTAAGTCCCTTGTAGTGCGGCCACTTCTGGCCTATCGTACCAGCCCCAGATGATAGGTGAGGGTGATTGTGGAGCAATTGGTGGAATGAAGATTGGCAGGGGAAACCGAAGTACTCGGAGAAAACCTGCCCCAGCGCCACTTTGTCCACCACAAATCCCACTTGACCAGACCCGGGCTCGAACCAGGGCCGCCGCGGTGGGAAGCCAGCGACTAACCGCTTGAGCTATGGCGCGGTCTCAGAAGCACTTCCTTGATGATGACGGCTTGCTGCGTGATGGTGGCCGCCAGTTGCCGAGGCTACAAATTCAGCTACACTTTATACACTTCTACTTGCATATATTCTGTTGCAGTATCACGATCCAGATGCCGTTTATACGGAAACGGAAACTTGCTTAGCGTAACGATGTGGCACACGATTCGCGGCAAAATGTTACGCTACCGATGTCTAGCGGAATCACTTTAAGTTGAGGGTGACGTGAAAGTAAGAGAAACTTCACGAGAAACATTCCGCCCCCTTCAAACAGTACGTCCAATCGACGAAAACCTACGTGTCAAGTAAATGCTTGGTGAATCAATAGCATTTCAGCGCCCCCCCCCCTTCCCGTACACAGGTGGCATTCCCATATGTACACTGCAGGGTATCAGATCTGATCCCCTCTTCACGGCTCTAAGCGTTGGTAATTCTTAATTAAATATTCAAACTGTTAATTATACACAATGTACCAAAGCAAGTTAAATTTGTACTCTGTCTCATTCTTACAGGGCTATTCCATCGTGCAATTGCAGAGAGCGGCTCCGTTCTAAATTTCTGGGCATTTACGAACTCTTCTAGACGCATGGCATTCAGATTGGGTGAGAAGCTCGGTATCAGAACCGACGACCCCCAGGAACTGTTGAATCATCTGAGGAGCGTGGACACTTTGGTTCTGACGAAGGTTTCCCACGAAGTGCTCACGCCTGAGGTAAATGTTCACATGTGCTGCCAATTCTCGCTTTAACACTCCGCTACAAGGCGCTACTGCCGTTGAACTAGCAGGAGCAGTCGTTACATTTACAGTAGTCTGTGTAGTTCAGTCTACTGACTTTCCTTCGTGCCGAGCATTAGCTGAGCCACCTTCAGGCTATTCTAGGTGCAACATGTGTAAATATTGCCACGAATGAGGGGTTTGCGTGAAGAAAATAAAGGGTTCTGAATGGGGTGACTGGATTTATTGGCATTGCTTACAATTACAGTCAATTATAACAGCTCGGAATCAACGACTGCCTAAGACTAGCTAAAGTTCTTACTGGACTACGAGGTCTTCTCTTCCACTGTGACTGACTTGGTTCTGATTTACGGATCGGTCGTCTCTTCTAGTCTGATTGACTTGAACGACGACTCCCTTACGAATCACTCCTTTGTACCCTCTGACCAATCAATTAATTCACGAATGAACTCTCTTTTATAACTTGGGGCGAACCGACGAGAGATCACCACCTCGAACAGTTTGTCTGTTATTCTGCTGCCACGAAACGTGTTTACCATACAGTTGCCCAGAAATACATTATTTCGTGTCCATTCGTCGCAGCGAGAATACGTGTATGGCAAGCCGTTGGCTAGCAATGGACTTCCACTTTGGATCTACTAACCCGGCTTTCAGGCTTCATGTCACAATATCTTATACAAAACAGTAAAGCTATCCCGCTCTGAGACGTCGAGGTTCCTACATTTTCTAGACAATTGGCTCACAGATGGCGGTGCCGGCCGCCCTTTTATCCAAGGAAGATTCCTGGTACTAATTTCTGTTAGAGGCTGAGTCGTTCTCAGGGCCATAGCGCGGCTGGAAGGATTAGGTCAATTGAAAAATCCAATGACGTCATCGGGAATAACTGAAATAATTTGGTTTATTAAATTTTAATTAGTCAAGNTGCGGCCACTTCTGGCCTATTGTACCAGCCCCAGATGATAGGTGAGGGTGATTGTGGAGCAATTGGTGGAATGAAGATTGGCAGGGGAAACCGAAGTACTCGGAGAAAACCTGCCCCAGCGCCACTTTGTCCACCACAAATCCCACTTGACCAGATCCGGGCTCGAACCCGGGCCGCCGCGGTGGGAAGCCAGCGACTAACCGCTTGAGCTATGGCGCGGTCTCAGAAGCACTTCCTTGATGATGACGGCTTGCTGCGTGATGGTGGCCGCCAGTTGCCGAGGCTACAAATTCAGCTACACTTTATACACTTCTACTTGCATATATTCTGTTGCAGTATCACGATCCAGATGCCGTTTATACGGAAACGGAAACTTGCTTAGCGTAACGATGTGGCACACGATTCGCGGCAAAATGTTACGCTACCGATGTCTAGCGGAATCACTTTAAGTTGAGGGTGACGTGAAAGTAAGAGAAACTTCACGAGAAACATTCCGCCCCCTTCAAACAGTACGTCCAATCGACGAAAACCTACGTGTCAAGTAAATGCTTGGTGAATCAATAGCATTTCAGCGCCCCCCCCCCTTCCCGTACACAGGTGGCATTCCCATATGTACACTGCAGGGTATCAGATCTGATCCCCTCTTCACGGCTCTAAGCGTTGGTAATTCTTAATTAAATATTCAAACTGTTAATTATACACAATGTACCAAAGCAAGTTAAATTTGTACTCTGTCTCATTCTTACAGGGCTATTCCATCGTGCAATTGCAGAGAGCGGCTCCGTTCTAAATTTCTGGGCATTTACGAACTCTTCTAGACGCATGGCATTCAGATTGGGTGAGAAGCTCGGTATCAGAACCGACGACCCCCAGGAACTGTTGAATCATCTGAGGAGCGTGGACACTTTGGTTCTGACGAAGGTTTCCCACGAAGTGCTCACGCCTGAGGTAAATGTTCACATGTGCTGCCAATTCTCGCTTTAACACTCCGCTACAAGGCGCTACTGCCGTTGAACTAGCAGGAGCAGTCGTTACATTTACAGTAGTCTGTGTAGTTCAGTCTACTGACTTTCCTTCGTGCCGAGCATTAGCTGAGCCACCTTCAGGCTATTCTAGGTGCAACATGTGTAAATATTGCCACGAATGAGGGGTTTGCGTGAAGAAAATAAAGGGTTCTGAATGGGGTGACTGGATTTATTGGCATTGCTTACAATTACAGTCAATTATAACAGCTCGGAATCAACGACTGCCTAAGACTAGCTAAAGTCCTTACTGGACTACGAGGTCTTCTCTTCCACTGTGACTGACTTGGTTCTGATTTACGGATCGGTCGTCTCTTCTAGTCTGATTGACTTGAACGACGACTCCCTTACGAATCACTCCTTTGTACCCTCTGACCAATCAATTAATTCACGAATGAACTCTCTTTTATAACTTGGGGCGAACCGACGAGAGATCACCACCTCGAACAGTTTGTCTGTTATTCTGCTGCCACGAAACGTGTTTACCATACAGTTGCCCAGAAATACATTATTTCGTGTCCATTCGTCGCAGCGAGAATACGTGTATGGCAAGCCGTTGGCTAGCAATGGACTTCCACTTTGGATCCACTAACCCGGCTTTCAGGCTTCATGTCACAATATCTTATACAAAACAGTAAAGCTATCCCGCTCTGAGACGTCGAGGTTCCTACATTTTCTAGACAATTGGCTCACAGATGGCGGTGCCGGCCGCCCTTTTATCCAAGGAAGATTCCTGGTACTAATTTCTGTTAGAGGCTGAGTCGTTCTCAGGGCCATAGCGCGGCTGGAAGGATTAGGTCAATTGAAAAATCCAATGACGTCATCGGGAATAACTGAAATAATTTGGTTTATTAAATTTTAATTAGTCAAGGTTAAAAATATCTAAACTTGTTATAGGCTCTCCTTTCCTTTGTGTTTGCGGTATCTCGATACGCTGATAGTTCTATATTAATACGCATAATGCACAACACAGGAGAAGCCCATGTCGATCGGGTTTCCGTTCCTGCCCACTACTGACACAGCTTCCGGTGGAGAAGTGTTCCTGCCAGCTCCCCCGCGCGAGCTCCTGGATTCGGGAACACTCAGCACCGTGCCAATGATTGCAGGAGTCACTTCTCACGAAGGAATATTGGCTCTCAACGGTGAGTTCAAGGGCTTTACTGACCGATCGATTTTACATCACGCTATGGAGAAGTATGGGGTAGTGAAGGAACAGATGCATAAAGACGTAAGAATTGCACATTAAGCTCTTCATCAGAGTTTGAAGCAGTAACAGTCAAAACTTGGACTTAATTAGCATAGGGAACAGAGCTCTTCTTGAGAAGATAAAAATTGGTCAATTAGGCAAAAATTCTTTTTTTTTTTTTATGGAACCCGAGTGTTTATTATGGTGTTCAAAACCGATCGCCCATGAACCCTATCCTAAGTCATCTGAATCCACACCACACCTTACTTCTCTTAAATACACTTTATTACTATCCTTCCATAGATGTTTAGGCTTTTCAAATTGTCTTCTCCCCACATTTTTCTTCGGATCAAAATTGTGTAATCAGTGTTCTTCTTTCCCGTGTGTTGCTAGAGCCTTCACCTGCCCACATTTGCGCTCCATTTGGTGGAGGGTGTACACTGTGAGGTTCTTGATTTTGCGGTTTTCTTCAGTCTCCTGCTACATGCTGTCTCGTAGGGACAAACACTCTCCTCAGCGCCATGCTTTGGAACACTGAGTGTTTTAATTAGTTCTATAGTTTATGTGCAACAATTTATTAAAACTTAACAAAAGCTAGTCAGTTTAGAAGTTCTGAGGACATGTTTGGGCCGAAATGATGACCACCTGGTGTTAAAAGTTGAGTGAGGAAACGGCTGTATTTCTGTGTTGATATGTGATTCCGCACTGCGCATGTGTGTATTTCTCCTTGTCGTGTTATGCTACCCGCCGTATGACGTTCCTTATCTCGTTTTCAAGACATCCCAGTGCAATGCATTTGTCCCTGTTCATATGCGCCACTAAACTGAACTGTAATTTCATTTACAGTCTTGAAAGAACACCCAGAGTCCCTGGATATATTGGACAAGGAATTTGAACGCGCTATTCCTGAAGACTTCCCGGTGGTTAGAAATACAAATAAATCACAAGAAATTTCTCATAAGATCAGGAAGTTTTATTTCGGGAATAAACGCGTGTCTGAAGAGACTCTTTTACAGTTTGTGAATGTAAGTATGTAGCAACTTCTGATAAAGAAAATGGAATAGAATGAAGTAATTAAATCTGGGGAACACAGTTCTTCATGGTCAATCCTCTGGTCAAGAAATCTCCGGCTTTCTGTGGAACCCAAAAGTTCAGTATATTTGAAAGTGCGTAAGAAATGTAAATCTATCCCTTTAAGAGGCACAACCGGTGGGGTTGTCAGCTTATGGGCCGGAAGCCCTTTACCCCCAGGAAGATTTGTCGACCAGAGGACTACAGTGCAAATCAAACCCGCTTCATTGCAGTAAAGTTTTGAGTTCTGGATTCTGAACATTAAACTCAAACAAACACAATTAAATTAATATATTCACATGGTAGCGTAGTTGATTGAGGCACTATGTTAAATGCTGGAAGGTCGCGGGATCGAATCCCGATGAGGTGGATTTTTTCAATTTACCTCATCTTTCCAGCCGCAATATGGTCCTGGGGTCGACTCAGCCTGTAACAGAAATGAGTACCAGGAATATTCTTGAGGTAAAGGGCGGTCGGCGCGTAAGGCTGACAACCTTACCGCCATCTGTGAGCCGATTGTGTAGAAAATGTGGGATCCTCAACATTTCACAACCATATGGGCCTCCGCGGCCTGTTACAGGGATAGCTTTACTTTTACTTACTCTTCAATATATTTGTTACATAAAGAAAAGAGTGAGAGGCTCACTGAATAGAAGTTCGTTTGTTTACAATAGCCTGCGCAACTTGAAAGCAAAAAGTATAAAAATCAGAGTGTCACAGCTACCATCTGTGTCTTAATATCATGCATACGAATTGGCCATTCCTGCCTTTAACAGAATAAGCAGTTCAAAACAACGTATTAAAATTAAAGAGAACTTAATGTAAGTTCTAGCAGTGTTATTTCCTCAACCCCTGGTCTAGTGCTTTAGATCACTAAAAGACCTCCGTCTGCAGTCTCGAAGAGTAAGCCCAAGCAAGAGGCTTGATTCTTGCTTCTTGGTTGTTGCATGTTGGGCTCATTCTGCGGCCCTGAAACGAAGACAATATTTATCTCCGAAACGCTGCAATAGTTCAATGCAGACTTACTCGTATCTAAGGTGAGGTGTGTCTAGTTACATACAGCCTATATCTTTCGGGTTTCGTTTCGAACAGTCCCCCTTCTTCTCCCGTATCTTACGTTTTATTCAATTATTTGCAAAGACAATTGGCTCTCGCCCATTCATTTGTCTCTGTCAGATGATTACAGATGTGTGGTTCATCAAGGATATAAACATGGCTGTCAAGAAGATTGCAGCGATATCTACCTCGCCTGTGTACTATTATGAATTCTCGTTTGACGGACCGTTTGGAATAATTAAGAGAATTTGGGGCGCCGAAAATTTACCAGGCAAGTTCCCTTTTGTGGAAAACAGACAACAAGAGGAAGGCTTAGGAATTTAACAAAGTATCCCGGAGGTACGTTTTATTGTCAACCAAGTACTCCACCACTTACATCGCTCTCTCATAGAGCTGAGCCCTTCTTGAGAAGCCGCCAGTTGTGCAGCTACTCAAGAACTTCCCAGCATTTTATGGGACCCGAAGGTTCATTACCGTCTTCACAAGAGCCCTCCACCGGTCCCTATCCTATTCCAGATCGATCCAGTCCATCCCATCCTAACCCATCTCTCTAAGATCCATTTTAATATTGTCCACCCACCTATGTCTTAGTCTTCCTAGTGGTCTCTTTTCCTGTGGCTTTCCCACAAATATCCTACAAGCATTCCTCTTCTCCCCTATTCGTGCTACATGCCCTGTCCATCTCATCCTCCTTGACTTGATCACTATAATTATGCTTGGTGAAGAGTGCAAGTTATGGAAGTTTTCTCCAGTCCATCACTTACATTACAGACAATAACAGTACAGTAACATACAAAAGGTTAAATGCCGGTTGCGGGTAATTGTTTCAGGGGCTGCGCACGCAGACGAACTGGGGTACCTGTTTCACATGCTGCTCACGAGTCGCATCGTCCTGAAACCCGAACACCCTGCCGTAGTAACTCAGTCCAGAATGGTCAAACTGTGGACAAATTTTGCCAAGAGTGGGTGAGTGAAAATCGTGAAGTAAAGTTGAGTATTTGCCAAAGACAAGCTACGAAAGCATATAGAGGCGTGGAGGTAAAACATTATGCACTCTAGTCTTCGGCAGCAGTTGAAGGTGAGTGGTCAGGGGAGGTTCAGTGCGCCGCAGAGCCGTCACAGAAGCGGTAACTGAGAGAAGTATCAAACAGTCCCTGCAGTACTTGTTGAGTTCCATTAAAATATGGTGGCACATGCGCAGAAGACAAGTTTCGTGTATAGGTGGAACGGAAAATTCCGTGTTTTCTTACAGCACATCTGAGGGGCAGAACCGCTTCCCTTCCATCGCGCCGGTTTGTGTTATCACATAGTAATCGCGCTCTGCCTCTACTGTCCAATCACTTTACTTGCCGAGTGATGCAGCAATACTGCTCATATTCTAATTATTTCATTAATAGTCGGACGTTAATATGAAAGATTACAATCCATGTCAGAATCCAAGCAGATTTCTTGGCGTCTGCTAGAAATGTGTAGAGAGACAACGAGATCTGCAGTTTCTTACCAGAATCTGAGGGGGGGGGGGAAAAAATTCATGACAATTTTTAATGATCGGCATAATAGAGGTTATCGCTTAGAGGAATGGCTTGTATTTTAATGTCTAAATAGTTTAAAATACGGATTACGGATACGGATAAATGTTACACACATGATTAAAAACTGGCAGCTTCGACTAGCAGAAAATATGTGTTCTCGGTGTATTGATCTTGCAAACATATTGATTTATTGCTTTGGTGTAGACTGAAGTATGTCCTTTATAAAAAACCGACAAGTCAAGTTAAAAAATAAAATATAATATTAATTTGCTCTCATGTAATAAAAATATTTGCTCCATACTCTATGTAATGGTAACACAACATTTACGCGGTGGCCAATGCTCCAATTACAGGAACGTGAAGTTATGATTGGTTTTAAGGAGATAAAACTTTCAGAAACGAGTTATAACTTCCTACAGTCTTAGGCCCAAATCAGAAGGCCGACTACATTCAGTGCAATTCTCTCAACTATAGAGCGCACCAGCGCCCACAACGAGCTTAGAGAACAAATTCTGAACCTGTGTAAGTTTTGAGGTTTTCACGGCGATGACTATGAAGAAAGTCGTCTTCTGAGATCTGGCGCCGTGTATTCTTGGTTTTAACCGACGTTTCGGAGGAACGTATCGCGTCCATCTTCAGGGCAGTTGAATCGCCATGCGAATACAGAGAGCAGTAGCTGCATGCAGCTGTTCACCAATAACCGTACATTTGTTTTGCTCAGAAACCCGACGCCTGAAGAGGACCCACTTCTGAACGTGACGTGGCCATCTTACACCACTGAGGACCCGACATACCTCAACATCGACCGGGAACTGAGCTTACGGAACAACTTGAATAAAGAGAGACTGCAGTTCTGGGAAGATCTGTATAAATCTGTACTCTTGTAACTACATATGTGCATTTCGTTGCTTGTGTCTCCAGTACAGTTTTAATTAAAACATCACACAGATCTGCATATTTATTTAAGTAACGCTGTCCGCAAAACAGAAGCAATTATCTGTCTTATAATTAGTGGATCCTGATTCAGGCGAAACAGGTAAGCTCGTTTCTTTGGAATTAAGTGGAACACACACACACACTGATTAATTGAGCGAAAACTTATATACTACAGAGAACAACACAGACACTCCGTTACACACTGATAGGAACTGAAGTTGGGTCTAAAAATAAACGCAGAAAAATAAAACTGTGTACATATTAACACACGGTGACCAGAAGGGAGGATAAAAATATAATAGAAAAAATAATAAATGATTTGGCAATGTTGTTTTTAAGTTCCTCCAAACACCGAAAGAAAATCAGGATGATATTCTTGATAGCATAGAGGAGATTACATTCCATAACTGCTGACTGCCTTACAGCTTACAATCCTTTCACCTTACTGCGTCAATATGCAGAGCTACAGCATCAGAGTTGTGAGATTCTGGCATGTTTTTCATCGCCTGACAGCGAGGGCGGTACAAACCGCGCACAGACCTTCCGTTTGCCCAAATCCTCGGTCAAAATTTGGTGCACAGTACTTTTTGGTATTCCCAAAAGCTCCTCGATGAGTCTTGCAGAAACACATCTGTCTGATGCAAGGATTTCGGTCTTTTTTTTTTTACATTTTCTTCAGTGCGACTTCTTCTCGGCTTTGATACACGTGGAGCGTCTTCAATGTCCTCCCTGCCGTCACGAAATACAGCATACCATCGAAAAATTTTCGAGCGACTCGAACAATCGCTACCGTACGCTTCTCCGGCTGTTTTGCCTAACTTCAAACAAAATTTGATGTTGGCTCTCCGTTCAACCGCCATTTTCCGACGAGCGTCAGAACAGCACTGTTACATTCAAGGTCAGAACACATGATGCAGCGATGCTTGCGCTTTGAAATTATAGATAGCCACAGCTGAAACTTCAAGAATCTTACCGCCACAACTCGCCAACAGATGACATTGCAGGGCAAAATTTAAGAAAAAAAGAGTCCTAACGGATCCTGGACACACCGTGTATATTGGGGCTAAGCATGGAGCTTCTACTAGTAATTACTGTAAAAATAATAGCGCACTAAAAAGGGAAAATGTAGAGGTATGCTTGTGCTTAATTAGGTAAGCACCACGCTACGACGAGTTAGAGTAAGGCGTGGAGGTACACGTGGTACATCCACATTTTCTTGACCTTGGCACTGGATGGATGTGAGTGGTCAGCTACACCCCACGTTAGCTTTACTCCGGGGGAAAGATCCCCGGTATCCACTGGGTAGGAGGATTTGTGGGTCCCAAAGCCGATATGGACGTTGTGGAGTAGACAGCTGGCCCCTTCTAGGAATCGAATCCCGGCCGTCCAGTCCGTAGTCCGTGGTTATGACTGAGCTATCCCGGCTCCATAACAGGGCAAATGACCTTGATGTGTTCATTAGTTATCCAAAGAACTTTCTTATTGCTACTTATCACGCTGTAGCTCTCACATAACAGGCAGCCTAAGGAGTCTCTAAGCGCCTGTACTGACGCGGAGTGAACAATGGCAGTGCCACTGGTTGCGCATTGCATGATAATGCGCTGTCGTGCATTGTTGTCTTCGGAGGACTGAAGGCATTATAATGGGCGTCAAGTATGAGAAAGCATATTATTAGGGAGTTCAAGGTTGAGAATTTGATACATGGCAAATAGCCCTACTTAGCGACGGGCAGTCAATGTTCTGGACGAGGACCGAGGACCTTCTGACTTCTCTGTAGTGTTTTGACGCTCTAAAGCACAGTGGTTGCTGCAAATGCCATGTGGTTTGACATTAATAGCTTTGCATTTTGCACACGAAGCGTGTTTGTAGCTTTCGTATAATTCTCAGAAAGAAATAAGACCATTATCAGGCTATATTTGTAATGGCAGTGCAGTGAGTTTTCCTGTGCCAAAGAAACTGGATTTTCAATATGACTGTTAATGGAAGCCACGCCTCCTTCAGCAGGATGAAGATGCACTGGCTGTTACTCATCTCTGTGAAAATAAAGTCAGGCAGTAAAGGTCAACACGGCGAAACTCCTGTTGCACAACTGAAAATGCTTAGCACTTCCTTATACACAAGACGTGGTTTATACAAAGCCAAGGAAAATTCTTCTCAAATAATGATGTCCCAATAAAATATTAATTAATTTTTTAATTCGTTCATCAAGGAGATGAGCTCCTTGTTAGGCCCTGGCCTCTTCTTCAGTTTCATAATCTTTTTTTACATAGTCGGTAGGACTCCTTGGACGAGTGATCAGCCAGTCGCAAGACCGCTACCTAAACACAGGATAACACAAACACAGAATAAACGCATACACACACCAAACATCCACGTCTTGAGCGGGATTCGAACCCACGATCCCAGCGTCCGAGAGAGCGAACACAGTTCATTCCTTACACAGCACGGCCACTATGATCGGCTAACCTATAAAATATATTTGAATAAATTCTTTATAAAGGTTAGGGTAAACGTAAAGAATTTCTCTGTTCTGAATTACTTAAGAAGCGCGCCATGAAAACATAAGGGACTGCAGGTACAGCTCCTCCAGGCTTGTAACTGGCATACATTAGCGAGAGGTTCGGCTTGAAATTCCACACGGACGCCTCAACCGATTCTCCCGAGACACGTAAACCTGAATTTCTGTGAAGTAAGCTTAAACGTTAAATTTAAGTACATTGCATTTTACAAGACATTCATAACCAAAAGCAGGAATGGAAGACAAACAGTAGTAAAATTATTATGGACATCCCATAAGAATGTTATGATTGCATTTAATAATATAGGGGAAAGAAGAGGGTAGGATTATAAAGTCCAAAAGCATCCGAGGTTCATAGAATTTTAAGTCTTACTGACGGAGATCTCATGTACTGGAATCCCGCCAGGAACACGGATAATCTCACCGAACTGCTGACGGTTGTATCCTAGTGATGGTCTCAGCTCTCATCCAAGATGTCCTACCGCTAATCTCCAAGAGAGTACAGAGGACGCACAGAGTGCAAAACCAATCATTAACTCAATGGCGCATGAAACCCGAACGTTCATTACTGCGTTCACAAGAGCCTACAGTCCTGTCTAAAATTTCGTAACATTCCAGGTGATAAGGGCACAGCCTTCCACTCAACCCACAGTCTAAGGAACCACTTCCTGTCTGTTGTCTGCGACTAGTCATTGAGCACATTCTTGGCTATCCTGCTCTCAGAGGCAGTCCTCTCCATCCGCAGCTAGGGGACACGGACCAACTCAGAACCCAGAATAACGGCAATATAATTCTTACAGATGACACAGAGAACAACGCACGCACACAGACATCCATGCCTCGAGTGGTATTCGAACCCACGATCACAGCGATTGAGCGGGTGAAGACGGTTCATGCCGCGAGGTCACTCTGATCGGCAAAATAAGTTACTGTTTATTTTTAACATTCGTACCTATCAAAACTCCATTTAACGATTTTATAGAAACAAACAATTATTTTTTTTTGTTAGTGGGGTGGGCCTAAGTCCCTTGTACTGCGGCCACTTCTGGCCTAGATGATTGTGGAGCAATTGGTGGAATGAAGATTGGCAGGGGAAATCGAAGTACTCGGAGAAAACCTGCCCAAGCGCCACTTTGTCCACCACAAATCCCACTGGACCAGACCGGGGATCGAACCCGCGCCGCCGCGGTGGGAAGCCAGCGACTAACCTCTTGCGCTATTGCGCGCAGTATCATCCTTACTAACGGGTTCTGTCTCGTAAAGGTTGGCTTGCAGTCCACGCATCGGACACTCTCTCAGATACATTCACACTGAGCGAGTCAACACTGACTCGTAATTCATATGACCTTTGATCACATTTTTAGAAGATACAGTGATTTGCGTCTTCCTGGATATAACACTCTGTAGTCTGCTGAAAGTTCACCGATGTTTCGAAGGAACATATCGCCTCCATCTTCAGGACCGAAGACCTGCAGAGTCACTAAACCTGCCTGTTTTATAATGGTATTTGCTTCGCTTACTCTTCAGGCCTGAATATGGAGGCGACATTTTCCTCTGAAACATGTGTTGGCTTGCGACGGACTGCACAGTTCTATGTCCCAGAAGGCCGAACTTTTTATAATCTCCGCTCTGAGAATCTCAGATCCTTCCAGATATATTCAGTTTCAGAACTAGCAGTCTGATTACCTGTAAGAACGCAAATCTTCAGGCTTGTTTGGAGTGAAGCCTATATTCATTACAGATAAAGGTACAGCTGTCCCTGTGCTTAACTAATTAAGCACTACGCCATGAAGGCGGATGGGGGAGTGGATGTCTGGACTCACGTTTTCTTCACGTGGGCACCAGTTGGAGATGAGTGGTCAGCTTCAGGCCCCGGCCGCTTTACCCCCGGAGTCTAGGTGGACCCCAATGCAGGGCTCGAGGACATAAAGAAGTGAAAACTCTTGCCCCCACCGGGACTCGAACTCCGACCCCTCGGTTGTCCAGCCCATAGCCAGTCGCTGTACCGACTGAGCTATCCCGGCGCTGCATATTCATTACAGACAAGCAATAACAGTAACATAAGAAGAAAACTTCAAGAAGTATGTTTAATTTTTGAGAAATCCTTCTGCTCGAAACACTTTCATATATATATATACTGATTATAACTGCCCAGGGTCAGTAGCTATCAGTTTATAGCCATCGCATTAAAAACAAATGTTAAGATCAGCGACAGAAAATTATCAACAAGAGTTAATACTGAATAGGGAATAAATCTGTAAAAATTAGTATTAGTAATGTTCTCCTTGAAGAAATAAAATTGTTAGTGTAATTAATATAAAAAGGCCCTTGGCTCTTTCCGGTGATTCTTCATGAAATGATTACCTAATGCGCAGTTCTGCGGTCATCTGATAGCTGAAATCAAGAAGGAGACAAACATCTCAAACAAAGGTACGTTTCTCAACGCAGTTCATCAGTAGTAGCTCTCCTTCTCGAACAATTTCCTCTTTATGATTACTACAGTAGCTTATACAGGGAAAGTACTCTAAAAGGCCGTAACACTTTTACGTTTACTGATTCCATGTACCGCCACTGTAGCCTATCCTGAGCCCGAGCCCTTTCATGCTTGCTGATAAGATCCAGTTAATATTACTCTCCTCTCTGCTTAGATCTCCAAAGATCTCAAAGATGAGCTGTGTCCTGTAATTAGTTTAAAATTTGACAAAATTACATTTCAGCAAATGAAGAAACAAAAAAAAAAAAAGCTTAAAACAAGAATATTAAAAAGCTTGCCTCTACAAGTAAGTCGTCTGCTACAAGGGGTGCAACCGTGCACACTGGCTTAGCTTTTATTCGGGAGGTGTTCAGTTAGAACCTAAGCCTGAACACAGATTATCCTCAGTCCCTCCCGTCAAATCCGGATGGTACCTCGACTGGACTACGACTGCTTCCCCTCAGATCGTTTCCAATCATCCTGTACTCGACTGTACATGCTCTGAGATGCTGACGGCGCTGTAAAATAAACAGCAAAAAACTAGAAGCGATTGCAAAAAGCTCTACATTTCGGTCGGAAGATTGTAGTCTCACACAGACTTCTGCAACGGAAGGTTTTCGACCTTAGCGATATCTCTGTTGCCTCTGGTAGAAGTGGACCGTATCAAAACTTGTGCCGCGTACTGTCACGAAGTCTGCTTACACGTTTCAGCGACATGAAGTGCTGTGTAGCTGCGGTCTTCTCGGTCCTGCTGGCCAGGGCCTTCGCTGCTCCTTCCGACATGGTGGTCCAGATACAAGAGGGATCCTTGAGAGGCACAACCCTAATTTCGCCACGCAGCAACAGAACCTTCTTCGCCTTCATGGGAATCCCCTACGCTAAGCCGCCTGTACAGAACCTCAGATTCATGGTAACGTCTACACCTGTAACGGCCTGCCTCTCTTCCTTGGCTCACCGACAGCTCTCACTGTAGATTAAATTCAGTTATCCCTTTGAGAATTCCACGGTGGGCAGGTATCATATATGTGAGCATTGAAAAATTCATGCTAAGACAGAAGGGGTTCCCACTTCGGTTGCCCGGGTTCGATCCCGGGTCTGGTCAAGTGGGATTTGTGGTGGACAACGTGGCGCTGGGGCAGGTTTTCTCCGAGTACTTCGGTTTCCCCTGCCAATCTTCATTCCACCAATTGCTCCACAATCACCCTCACCTATCATCTGGGGCTGGTACAAGAGGCCAGAAGTGGCCGCAGTGCAAGGGACTTAGTCCCACCCCACTAGAAATAAAATAAGACAGAAGGGGTGAGCTCACTTAGGAGGCGTATCCGCCGTTGTTACAATGGAACTTACAGAAGCAGGGTATGTCAATATGAAGACTGATCTGGCTCAGAGGAGCTTGCAACTGTCAGATTTCATGGGCACAACAATAAACACACGGAGAACTTGTAGGAACATGACCGTACCCGTATGCAATTTCCCAGGAAGGAAAATCAACTGAGTTAGTTTATCTACTCAAATATTTTCATCAGTTTTCGATCTCAATGGACTGTTTATACAAAACTGCAATTTCTCATTTAAAAGCAAATATATCACATTCCCCTAACATTTCATCAAATGTGTATTCGCATTTGTAATTCGTCCTTGGCCTCTCCGAGTTTCACCAAATCGCCAAAATGCAGCAATAAAAGCGAATACAAATTTCTCCCTACGTTTATCTGGGAATATGTTCATTTTTCCATTCCTTCATAACTGCACCTTAAATCATGTTCAAATGCCCTCTCCCTAAAGCTGCGTTCTTCTCGCGCTTCCTGCAGCACCTCATTAATTTGCTCCGCTTATAAAGCTGAACTACTGCGTTAAGCGATCTCTGTCTCCATATATTTTATGTGCTTTGTGCTTTTGGATTATGTCTCCAAATATGGACACTGACCATCAGATACGGGGTTAGGGGTAGGACTCGAGAAACTTTCGCCCTATATACTCGTACGACTGGTCATGAACCCGAGACTAGATTACCAGGTATCCACAACCATTCATCTCATCCACTGCCTTCCATTTTACGAATGCAACAATCCACACACGACATTGCAGTGCCTTTCTTTCACAAGCGGCTAAAGTGAAGCAAAACCTGCTGAACTGTTTGGCTCTTTCAGGCCCCGCAACCCCCAGAATCCTGGAGCGGCATCCGTGACGCCGTGGCTGAGGGATCAGTGTGCCCACAGAAGAACCCATACACATATGTATATGAGGGAGATGAAGACTGTCTCTTCCTAAACGTCTTCACAACGCAGGTAGGGGCGAGAAGTCTTACACGCATTTCTCATCCAAAATTAAATGCGTAAGATGTGAGGTCTTCACGCCGGCGACTATGAACAATGTCGTCGAGATCTACACGGCGCCACATCCCAGGAGACGGCGTTCTTCAAACTTAAACGCGATCCGCTGCACTGGAAGCAGCGCAGAAAATGTGAAACCAAGTTCCTTGGAACAACTGCAATAGACGCTACATCCTTAAGCATTTCCTATATGACATGTTCCGTAAAGTTTCACGTATTTAATTAAAATCAGTTCTAAAATAATTTATTAGTCACAGTAGGGACCTTCTTACACAAACAGCAGCTGTTGGTGAACCGGTATCTGATGTTACCGTATCTATAATTCGTGTCAGGTGGTAACCGGGCCACAAAATTATTAGTTAATATATGCTTACATATATTTTAGATTGACATATATATATATATATATGTCTCGATGATTTACTTTCAAATATCGATCCTTTAACAAATCGCAGGTTCAAAAAATATTTTAAGTGCAAGGGAAGGAATGACTTGCCAAATAAATGACACACCTCTAGCAATAAAAATAGAAATAACAAGTAAAATGTAATTATAAAGTGATACATAATTGAACACGTTTAATACAGCAATCGTTATGACGTACAAGTTGTAAACTATGTGGTTAGTGCTTTGTTTGACCCTAAAGGCAGTCTGCAAAAGTACAGTTATCTTATCACTCGCTTCCTTCAAGCAAGTGTCTGTTCAGACTTCCGCTACATGAGCTACAGATAAGGCAGAAATGTATGCGCACAGAATCACTGCGCATTTCTGTCTGTTCTTTCTGCTTACATTCCGAGATTACTGAAATTAAATTAGCCTCGTTACAGCAACTGAACTGTTCTGCAAGAGTGCTTTTCTTTAAAGTCACACTGAGACATAATTTCGAAACATAATATTAATATCTTAAAGGCTGAACCTCTTCTGAACGGTGCATAGAAGTTCACTTAGTACCTCTTCGCATAATGCTGCTTAGAGAGAAACACTGTTATTTAGCATTAGAAACATAGAAATCTCCGCAAGCAGAAAGCAGAGTTTTTACACGTTAAAACAGGAATTAATGGCTAACAATGAAATATGTAGGACACCCCTGATTATCCGACCTAAACTGAAGAAAATGGCCGTCAGATATCAGAAGACATCGGATAATAAGAATGACACTAAAGACACGGAGCAAATATCTACACAGCTTGGTTCAGAACTGTATTATGTAACAATAGCATGCAATTCTACTTTGCTGTGGGTGCTCAAGTCAACCTGGATAACAAGGAATTCGGGTAACCGAAGATCAGATAAACAGGGTTCTGCTGTATTTACATTTATAATATTTGCAAAATGTTCTTCTTGGAAACAATATAGTGGTTTAGTTACATCTCCTAGCAAATTTGATGCTGAACTCGGACATAATCCCAGGCCTACCTGGACTCCGATCTTCTGTCTATTTCTGTGCGAGTTTAACGGAGTCAAAGACCTCACGTAATTATCAGACAAATAATTCGAATCGCCTTGCCTCTTATAAGTTCTTTCAGTCTCAACCATTCTTCAATTAGGGTTTCGTCTTGTTATACATATACGTTCTATTTTAGATTTGGATTTCAAACTTCTTGCAGCTCGCATCCAAACTTGGACAGTCCCTCAAAGCTGTGATGGTTTGGATCCATGGTGGAGGGTGGCATTTCAGTTCCGGGAACAGGGACGTCAATGGGCCCGATTACTTCATGGACGAGGATACAGTGGTCGTTACCATGAACTATCGCCTGGGAGCCTTAGGTGAGGTCATCAACTTCGCAGTCAGTGCTCCAGTCAGATGTTCGTATTAGTGTAGTCTTATTCATGAAACAGCCGTTGCCTATTGAATCCTGCTCTGTCACTGATCTCGAGAAAATTGTTATCTTCGTGCGGCACGGCAACTGAGTTAATGGCTTACAGTGGATCCACATAGGCTTATTGTCTCCGGAAGTTTACAAACCGGTATCTTCCAAACGGATCTTCTTGAATTCGGTAGGTATTATCTTCGGTTTCCAGGGTCTCACTTTCGATAACGGTCTGCATCTTATAAAGACGAAGCAGAACAGTCCATAGGAAATACGTCATAACAATTACACCCAGCAACAGAATAAAAGTAAGACCAAATAAAACATTCTGATTGGCTAATCATTAATTAGAATATGAAAATTATTGTATCGTTGTTTATTTTGTTTTGGAGCAGTTAATGTGTGATTACCAGTAACAACTTAATACTCATATCTTGTTATCGGCATGTCTAGTCCTGCGCTACTTGCCTCGCATTCAACTCACACGCACTATTCAACCTCTACTTTGATACACATCCACGCCACCCACTCATGCTCACTAACCTCACTAAGGCCAGACTCACGACTGTCTTAATGTATGTTGCCCTGCCAGCACAGAAATTTTTGTTTCCGGGCCTCGTGAGACTGATTAAGATCATATTTTTCTGTCTTACGACTCTAGGAAACGTCCAACTACTCCCAGCAAGCGGCCACTGTTTTATGCACATAATATTTCTGGAAGGGTCGAGTGCTTTCACAAGCGGAACATGCAATCGCCATTAATTGGCGACTAGTAAAAGTGGTGGGGGTCTGTACGAGAAGTGAGACCCTCCACACTCAGGTGACAATACAGGAGACTACTTCTGTAAATTGTTCTCAATTCATTAACAGGATTTCTAAGTCTTCCAACTGCAAACATTCCCGGTAACAACGGCCTGAAGGACCAAGTCATGGCTCTGCGTTGGGTGCAGCAGAACATTGCGCGGTTTGGAGGTGATCCTGACAACGTCACCATCTTCGGGGCCAGTGCTGGAGGGGCCAGCGTGCATTATCACATGTTGTCTCCCATGTCACAAGGTCAGTTTCGCTTATGTTGAAATTATATTACGAACAAACTGGATTCTGTGAATGCATTTCTTGATTACGAGAAGAAATACTCTTTTCAGGATTATTCCATCGTGCCATCTCTCAAAGTGGAACAGCTCTCAACGCATGGGCCTTCAATGAACCAGGGACGAACCACAATTACTCCTACGGTTTGGCAGAGTTATTAGGCCACAATTACTCTGACTGTAACGAGCTGATTGAGCTCCTTCGAACAGAAACACCAGAAAGAATTGTGAACCTTACGTTTACATTGGGAGAACAGGTAGTTACTGAAAACTTACACTCAGAACAAATCTTCTAGCCTCTCACTCCATGTGCTCTCCTACGAGGATGAGGTTATCAGCGATTCGGAGGAAAGTGATACTTACATCTTCAAGGTTGGGCGCGCCAAAGCTCAAGCGGTTAGTCGCTGGCTTCCCACCGCGGCGGCCCGGGTTCGATCCCGGGTCTGGTCAAGTGGGATTTGTGGTGGACAAAGTGGCGCTGAGGCAGGTTTTCTCCGAGTACTTCGGTTTCCCCTGCCAATCTTCATTCCACCAATTGCTCCACAATCACCCTCGTCTATCATCTGGGGAGGGTACAATAGGCCAGAAGTGGCCGCAGTACAAGGGACTTAGTCCCACCCCACTAGCAATGCTGGCGCTCTTCTACCCTGAAAATGAAAGCATCAGATTGTTCCTTAATACCCACAAACATATATGACGTCAGAATTCTGAAACCAATCTAAATTTTGACTGGTATGAAAGCCTCGGTTCTCGAAACGCGCAGAATATTTGGTTTCATAATTATCTTATTATGCGATAGCGTGAAAGATAAATTGAATTCACCTGGAAAGGACACACACCGCCTACAGCGAAAGCAGAAAGCAAAGTTGTCCTGGTACTTCATTAAGCGCCACGCCATGAAGACGCACAGGAAGCAAAAGTACAGTTCCGTGCTACATGGAGGAGAGCGGGGGGACTTCCCTTCCCGGCCGCTTTAACCCTTGTACCCATTAAAATAGTTGATTCCTAAACAACAAAGAAAATAGTTACTATTTAGTTAACAATTAGGTGCACAAATGTCATGCAACAATAGTTAGGCGCCATCCTCACAGCGCGCTGAAAAATTGGCAAACCAAATATTTTGATAACAGTGAGGCAAAGTTCCTCCATGTGGCAATATTTCTAAAGAAGAAAGAGAGAAATCAATAACTGATACCCAGGTTATTTAGATCTCCGCTTATAAACGTCGCGTCAGTTTATCAGAATAAATCAGTTTCCCTTTCCTCCGACAGTTATGCAACGGGTTTCTGTTAAGCAGCTCTGAACATTGCGCATCGCTTCTACTCCGATGTAACATAACAGACTAGTGCTCTAAATGTTCAATCGACAGGGCCAAGGGATCCCCTTCCATCCCACAGCGGACTCAAGTGAATACGGCGGAGAGATATTCCTGCCGGACACTCCACAGAGGCTGATTGCAGCAGGCAGATTAAACAGAGTACCTTACATCGCTGGAATTAATTCTCGAGAAGGCATATGGGAGGTGTCAGGTAAGGAGATGAATTCCAGTTGATGTAGTGATGGTAACACACACGAAACAAATATCTGCGAAACTTAATACTTTATGGGGTTACCTCCGTCTGCTTCATTAAAGCTTTTACTTTTTACTATCAGGAATTAAATTTTGAATTTAAAGAATTACCCTTAAAGATGGGGGGCACGCGGTACCGTAGTTGGTTGAGGCACTATGTCACAAGCCGGAAGGTCGCAGGTTCAAGTTCCGATGATGTCATTGGATTTTTTCAATTGACCTAATCCTTCCGGCCGCACTATGGCCCTGGAGTCACTCAGCCTCTAACAGAAATGAGTACCAGGAATATTCTTGGGGGTAAAAGGCGGCCGGCGCGTAGGACTGACAACCTTGCCGCCATCTGTGAGCCAATTGTCTACAGAAAATGTGAGAACCTCAACATCTCACAGCCCTATGGGCCTCCACAGCCTGTTACAGGGATAGCTTTACTTTCCTTTTACTTACTCTTAAAGATAACGTATCCATGTTTTGAACACTGGAGTGGGTTGTCACCAGAACATTCTAAAAATAATATGAACACACGAAAATTAAATTTTCATTAAGATAAAAAAATGTCGTTGATTAGTAGCATTAAATATGGGGACAAATAATTAAAAATAGAATTTCTGATAAATTTAAAACTAATATAGACATTACTAGTGTCATTTGCAGATTGCTGCTCTAACAATCATGACTGGAGTTCTTGGTACCAGATATTGGCAGGTTCACAGATACATATACACTGATTATACTGTCGGGACTATCAGTTGGTTCATTTATTTCAACAGTAAGAGCGTTGCTATTTGCTTTCATGGCATGGAAAAGAACAAGAACAATTGGGCGTTAGTACCACCGCGACCCCGTTTGTGAGAGCAATGGGCACCAGCTAAAAGCAAGAGCAATATACAGGTATCATCATCATCATCATCAGTAATCTGTCAGACGACAGGTCCACAGTCTCTTCCAAAACAATTCCTCCATTTAATGCGATCTAGAGCTTTCTCCTTCAAATGACAGTATCCTCTTCTGTCCCCAAGGTCATCCAGCATCTTCTTACGTCTATATGATGATATAAACGTGTCGACCGTACCTCACCGAGATTTGTGAAAGCATGTTCAATATTTTGAATCAAATATTTTATATTTAAATGGCCCGTTTATAATGATTAAGTCTACGTTTTGGTTTCTGAGATGTTTTAGTGTACTATATATGGATAAATACCGTCTTAAGTGCAACAAATTTTATTGTAGTTTTTTACTTCTTTTCCTCCTCCACACTACATGTTTCGGCCCTAAATGGCCATCATCAGGTGTGTATCACTCACGTAGCTGTTACACTGCTTGTTAAAATTTAAAATTACCAGTCTTTCTAATTGTATAAAATCTTTGTTAATCTACACGCGTCGATTTGATTTTTAAATTAGCACTTTTTAAA